TCATTTAATTATTTTTATCTGTATTTATTTTTAAATGTGGTGAAGCTGCTCCTCTACAGTACAGTTTTTTATTGTTTATCTTTAAACATATTATTCTTATACATTGTTCTAAGCTCCTTTCTGCTGCTGTAACACCAGAATTTCCCCATTCTGGTACAATAAAGGGATTTTCTATTCTGTTCTATTCTTTATTCCACATTACAGCCTTATTTCCGTGACCTTTGACCCAGCCTGCCCCCTCCAGCTCTTCACATTTTGTTGTCTGTTTATTATTGCAGTTGTTGAGGCCGGAGGAGGTGGAGATGTTGGTGTGTGGGAGTCCGGAGCTGGATATGAGCGCTCTGCAGAAAGCTGCTCAGTATGAAGGCTACGGCAAGATGGACGCCACTGTGAGGTGAGGCCTTCAGCAAAGGGCATCATTACCGATCAGAAACCGTGCTTTACCTTTTTAAAGGTGTAACCTGATGGTTTTACTGTCAAACTGAATTCATTTGTGTGTTTTAGATAGAAATAAACTTCCTCTGTGTTGTTTGTTGGGTTGCGGTGCGATGGATGGAAGAAATGTGGGAAAATCAAAGTCCTGTAGCTGCACATTCTGGCCTGCAGTTTATTTTTATTTCTAGCTGTCAGATAGTAAAACAAGCCGATACCCGTCAGCTGGAGATAATGCAAGTCAGAGCGCTGCTGAAAGCTAAGCATGAACAGCTGGTGGAGTCGTTACACAACACCAGCGCTGGCTGGCTGGCTGTCCTCCATGTTTCCCAGCAGAGCATTGATCTGCTGAGTCAGCACTTTCAGAACCAGCTCCTCTCCAGGTCAACTGGTACCAACTGAAAGGTGTTCTGAGCAGAACCTGATCAGCTGCTGTGGAGGGTTGGTGGTTTTCTGTGGTCTTCACCATCTTTGTTTTCCAGGTGTTTCTGGGATGTGGTGCTGAGCTTCCCTCTGGAGCTTCAGAAGAAGCTGCTGCACTTCGCCACCGGGAGCGACCGGGTTCCTGTGGGAGGGATGGCCGACCTGAACTTCAAGATCTCCAAGATCGACGTTCCAGCGGACTGGTAGGTTCAACACACTGGACCAGAACCATCCATCCGTCTGTCTGTTTATCCATCCATCCATCCATCCATCCACCATCCATCCATCCATCCATCCATCCATCCATCC